AAAAAATCGCCACGCTGCAAATCATGGTAACCCTCGTCGCAATTCTGGTTGCGCCGCTGCGTGGAAAGTTCGGATATCGTCATCTAATGCTCACAGTATGACGCCTCCTTTTCAAATTCTGGATTCTCACGCCCAATAACAAACATTCGACATGTGTGCCAGGAGGGACGGGTGAAAAGGAGATGTCTGAAAATCACTGAAATACATTTGGGAGCTATATAAGCTGGAATATTTCCATAACATTCAATGACCGCCTGCTATTTTCCTTTTGACCAGCTCCTAGTATATTACTAGATATCCGAAAAACTCACAATGTGCAAAGCCAGTAGCATGTGTCTTTTCTTAATGGATACTCTCCCTTTGTCAGATGTTGATCTGCTTGCCACATCTGACGTGATAGCAGCACTGCCATTTCTGCATAATGTCGTTGTAGCACAAAGTCACTACTACCCAGAGCAATATTTTCGTCTGCTGTATTTGTTTAGGTTGTTATGCAGTTTACTGAAATCACGACAAGTTTGTCGTTCGATGAGTTCCACGGAGATTCAAGACTAACATAATTTATGCTCAAGGTTGGCACAAGCGAATCAAGGCTCTCAATGTCCTCCCAATCCATGCATCTCCTGCATCGCACTTGATTGGCTAGCCGTTGCGTGCACACTGTGGGTGTTTCATGAACTTGCTTTGGTGACGTGCAGATGCAGGGAAATGCGAAGGTACCGTAGATAATTCGTGATGTACCCGGTAATGGTGTTATTCCCGTAAAAATACCGAAGAATGATTAAATGTTCTGGCAGCCATCCGCTCTTCAATCTGCAAGACATTGTCGCCCTCGCCATGGCTCACATGAAATGCCTGGAACTTGCAAGCTATCGCATCTCCACATTGCAACACAATATTTCTGACATACATTTGCACAGTATGTCAACATGATATGACAAAACTGTGATCATATGCCTTTCTGCAGTTGGTGGGGTTGATAAGTTATCTTTTTGCAACTGGTACACATTTGTTCGAGAAATTATTAAGGGTAAGACTTTTCCAGTGGCTTCGAATTCCTTTACAATCTAATTTAGGAGTCGGTCATGTGTCGTTCAGAGGTGTGTGAAGGCGCCGGCGCTGTCTGCACCAGCGAGCGAGGTGGTCTTCACTCGGGCCATGTGACGGGCAGGTTCCGATGACGGGGTGTGCTCCGGTCTGACCGTTGCAGGAGATGGCCGCCGAGCTGCAGGGCTGCGCCAGCTCCTTGACGGCCATGCGCTGCGATCTCAGCCAGCTGGACCAAGTCGACGCTATGTTCCGCACCATCGAGCAACAGTTCGGCGGCGTGGATGTCTTGATCAACAATGCCGGCCTCAACTTCGGCCGCTGGCTGCTGGATGGTTCGGCGGAGAAATGGCGCGCCATGCTGGACGTCAACGTGCTGGCGCTCGCGCACTGCGCTCAGCTGGCCGTCAACAACATGGCCGCCTGCGAAGTTAGCGAGGCCCAGGTGATCAACATCTGCAGCCGCGCCGGACACTGCGTGGACGACTGGCCCGATCTCCACTTCTGCACGGCGACCAAGTGCGCCGTGACTGCGCTGACGGAGAGCCTGCGCCAGGAGGTGGCTGCTAAGAAGATGCGGATCAGGGTCGCGGTACGTACCCGGGCCACCATGATGCATCTGTCGCTGCGGTTTTCATATTCGCACTCTGACCCTAGTACGCTGCCGTTGCATGTGTCAAGATGACGTGTGATACATTATATCTGACAAAACACAACACAAGCACGGGAGATTACGGGATGGTAGGTGGTTGGATTGGCAGATTAACCTGTAAAAGGAAACTTCGACTACGAAGTTTCGTCCAGCTTTACTCGCTGGTTGATGCCAAGGAGACGCGGTTATTATCGAATCCCTCTGGGTAAGCCTGTATGACGCATCAGAACCTGTAATCACTCTCTTACGCCTTGCAAGACACCGCATAGTTCCGTTCGTGACTGACGCCATTCCTATGCGGATGCGACGGCTGGGCTGGGGATGACACCCGGATCAGTCAACCCCGTAATAATCGTATCTTATGAGTGGGTCGGCCCACCAGCTATCTCCAACGAGCGCTCCTCTCTGAGGTAAGCGTTTGCCACTTTAGAGCAAACGAACGGCAGTGCAAGGGTGACATCTGTGAGTACAATTGGGAAGGTAATGTCACGCAAATGCCATGTCTCAGTTATTACTTAACACGCGCCCAGGTGGCCGGCTAGACACCCTTCGCTCGGGTGCGGGTGGGGGTCAATTTGCCCCTCTGAAATCTCAGGAACTTAGAAAGCTAGAGACATCAAGTTTACAGAATGTCTTAATCTGCACGCGAACTCACTGAGGCCAAAGTTTCAGGTTCCTAGGTCATGACCTTCCGGTCAAACAGGTCAACCAAGGTCAAGTTCCAGGTTGGTCTCCAAAGCGCCCCAGAACATAGATAGTCGTTGCTAAGCAAAAGGTCACATTCTCATTCAAGGTCAGTGACCTTGTTCGACCTTTTTGAGGCCAAGCTGACCAAAATCATACAAGATTGCTTTGAGTTTTGCATTTGACTAAGCGACAAAGATTACGCTAGGCAGTATGTTCCTAAAACAAAATGTTGACCAGGGTCATTTTAGGTCAATGATCTATTATGACCTCTAAGAAGTCCGTGGAAGATGTATAATGCGGTTTCTGCTATCAATAAACTCGAAATGAGCACCAGAAACTATCCCATACAGCAAGCCCTAGAGTAACAAAACAGGTTGGTTTTGACCTGGGTGTGACCTTCATACCTGACCTTAGGTCAATGTAATTTGCTCATTCAACTGTTGTGTTGCCTAAGAAAGCGTCCCAGAGATGTATGACTTCGTCTAACACTCCGTTGTTGGATCAGATTGAAGGATTCCCTAGAAAATGCCTTCGCTGAAACCATGGCCTGACTTTGACCTGCCACAGGTCAGCGACTTTGCAAGCTACATCTAAATTTGTTATGCCAAACGATCTGCTATTCAATTGTCTAGAGCTACGCAAAATTTGGCGCGGCTACGCCGCGCCGTTCGGAAACCATTCCGGAAAACCTTCGGGGGGCAATTTGACCCCCCCGAGCACGTGTTGAAGCTCTCACCCCAATAAGAACTAGGGCGCGAACGGTTGTAAAATACTTCGAAAGCTACCAAATCTTTGGCCAATTATAACCTTCAAGTACATTAAATCAAAATCGTGTGACTGCCACATGACGAGGCACTGGCCTCAAAACCATCGAATACGCATCGCAGCGTGATTTAAAGTATCATAACAGGCAAACCTCCTGCGCATTACAAGGAATCGACACAGGGCCTTCTGGAAGTCTGAGTCAAGACTTGAGAAAATTCCAAGACCAAAATCCTGTCCCCAGTATATTGAAAGTTTAGCTAACGCGAGGCAAACTTACCACCTGACGTCTTCGCACCATTCACACGCGTTATAGAACATCACTCGAACACACATAAGCCACGTTAACTTGCTTGAAGAAAGTGATCCATTCTACATCGACGGCTGATTTACAATTTGTGAAGAGCCTAAATGAAAGATGGTCAAGCGCTGCTAGTGACCACTCCAGGGCCATGCCATTTTGCGTACGTTGAAAGAATGGCTAGAAGTCACTGGAAACCCTTATTCAAATGCCTAAAAAGCTACAGACGGAAATCTCACGGTTTAGGACTATTACATTCCCCTACATCCGCGCAGAAATGAGGTTATGATTGGTATCATGCATTTTCAGCAAATCTCGCCCGGCCTTGTGAACACGGACATTGCCAACCGCATGTTCGCCGACAAGCAAGAGGCCTGAAAGTTGATGGAAGTGGGAATGGACCCGAGCGTTGTCGCCGACGCTGTCGTCTATATCATGTCCGCTCCTAAGTCTGTCCAGGTACGTCATCGCCGGCCTCGTACGAAGCGTCGAAAGCCAGGGACCGAGGACGGCCGGCGCCTTCGTTCATGATTCGACAGCTACGAGTGCACGGCGTTTGAGCGAATTTGAGCGGCATACATTATGTGGAAGTTCGGGTAATCGTGTAATGCACACACAATTTGCCTCATCTCCCGAGAACAACCGTACATAACTTTTCCAGGCTATATGATACAACACTCGCCTAAGCGTGTGACGCAGTTGAATATCGGATATCGATAGGGAACCGAAATGAGCAGCAGGCATGCATTTCTACAGCATAGCTCTGGTGGGGTCACATACAAAAAGAACTTTACCATTCGACAACTGAAATTTTGCATGGACTTTTGAGAAGTGATAGACATGATTTTTGTTTCAGATCGAAGATATTATGCTCAGTCCTTTCCGCAACAGCACGCAGTGAAGAATGGGGGACAAGGCAGATGGCCACGTTCATGCGCGCACGCACGTGACGCACTTTTGTATATTTAGGCGGCGGCCGTTGTAAGCCTTATCGAGCATTTATGGTAAAAGACCTTTGGGTAGAACGACAGCCTGTCTGTGTTTCTCTACGGGAACGTCCAGCTCCAGTGCTGGAATCATGGGGCAGACTGTAACACCGCTACTGCTTTCACAGAACCTCACAATCGCACCTCGTTTGTAAAAAAATATATTCCAATTGATTTGTGAGCAAGGCGGTCCTCAATTACCCCAGGCTAGCAGGATTCCACGCAGATGCTACCAATCACACTGCATCCCATTCACCCAAACGAGTTGAGTTCCAACGTGAGATAACGAAAACAAAACGCTGCGGCGGTCACATCTGTGCACTTAGCAAAGGCGAACAATGCCATTTGCTCGTACTGATGTACCACTGCTACGACCAGAACTGTCCCAGGTCGACACTTCCCACCACCCTGTCACTCCTTCGATGAGTCGTACCCGTTTCGGCAATTGCCAGACAGTACCAGGGCTGAACCGCATGGGAGCAGTGTCTTCCACCGGTTCAGGGAAAGGCGGCCTATGGAGCGTCACCGCGAAGGGTCCAGACACGCACTGAGTGTGTGTGTGTGTGGGGGGGGGGGGGGGGGGAGCACAAGACGAGGCCGGCGGTGGTCACAGCCGGAAGCACCCTGGACGCGCGTCTCAGAGAGACAGGTACGGTCCTCCCGGAGACGATGCTGGCCTGGCGCCCCAGCGCAGTGTGGCGATCCGTGGGTTAAGCCGGCTCAGCAGGAGCAGCAGCCTGGATCGCACCCAACAACAGCCGGTGTTAACTCACACGTCGTGTCATCCACGGCCTGAACGCAGCTGAATTCGAGACAGAAAAATCAGACGACGGCGGACCAGCTCCAATGCACCTTGTCAAGTCAGGAAACTGAGCAGAAACAAGACGAGCTAGCGCAAGGGGTGAATACATATCTCATTATAAAATGGCAAGACTTTATAATACACGGTATATCCAGCATGGCTCTGCCAGATAAGCGGGACGGGCTTTCCTCCCCTGAGAGCTGGGCACCACCCTGGAAGCGGTCAGATGCAAGGCCGTCACAGCGCGGCGTCTGACGCCAGGAGAAAGCCAGCGCCGCGTCGTCACGCTGTAAAGGACGGCTGCTGGCCACGCCGCACCTGTGTCTTTGAGGCCGACCCGGCACCCGTCGACGACCTCTTCCTCAGCTCAGCGGCCGGCGGCGGCGGTTGCTGCTGCTGCTGCTGCTGCTGCTGCTGCTGCTGCAACAAGCCACAGACCGGCTCTTGAGACGCGCGCTCGCGCAGGGGTCACGCTGGCCGGTGTGCCGTATGGACCTATGAGCCAAACGCGAGTACGTTGACCCATGCGCGGTTTCCGAACAGGTGCACCCATCAAAGGAGACCCATTAATCAATTGGGGAGGGGGAGGGGGGGGGGGGGGCGCACGAGTACTGATCTGCATTCCTTCGGGTGGAACACACAATTCACCCCGTCCAATTTGGCCCCCAATGGTGAATATGCCCCCCCCCCCCGAACCTTCTAAAGCGTCACGATGCGCATGCAGAACACTTAAAGTGAAGGCCTAAAATTACATAAATTCTAAAGGTTTCTAATATTACTCCACAGGTAAGAGGAACAAAGAAAGAGGGCAGGTCAAACTAGAACTTCACATTCATAACATATCTACTGACGCATTCTGATTTTGCTGCAATCCGCATGTTTTAATTGTACAATTAATATGTATCGTTATTTCTGGTAAAGTTTTGTATCACTGCCTGGGTGCTTTGACATCATTTAGCGCCTTTTCAAGTTTTATGGACTGCAACAAGCTGCTTTCGTTGTGTTATTCTGTTCCGATGTATTAGCTGGGAGTTAAAATAAACCGGTAGAATATAAGCACGCAAAAATGTGACGAATTTACTAGCCGCTATGCTCGGAAGAAGGCTTGAAGTGTGCTGACCTCCATTTGGACGTGAATATTCAATGAAATGGCTACGGAAACCTGACAATCGACGCCCGCGACTAAGCCGCTTGTGGTAACCGTCTGACAATGATGAGCAAAACACTAGACATTTCGAATATATCTATCGCAGAGTGCGTTGCGGGCTGAAGCACGTCTTGCGTCTACCTGCCGAAGGTTTCCCTGGCAGTCCTTCATAGTTACGCACACCAACTTACTCTCCATATTTCCGAAAACATGGACGTCCAACAGCGTCTAAAGTCACGTCAAATCCAACCTACGTCAATTGCCGACACCCGGCTCGACCATCCGGGCCCAACAAAATGGCAATGATGTCGACAGCATTTCCCGCCGAGATAGGGCGAGGAAACGCATTGGAGCACGAACGTTGTTTCCTATTCAGCTGGGGATACTCTATCTTTCTAACTTTGAGAAGAAAATAGGTCCAATCCAGGGAAGCCTTTTTAGCGTATTTTTGAAGCAGGTTTTCAGTTTCCATTTTCCTGCTCAGCGCCCCAAATTTGTTTTGCGAAACTATACCCGTGTGGCCGAAGCTTAATGACCGTCACACGCCACGGATCCGCCATCACAGTACTTGACCCCAGCCCACAGCACCGCTCCCAAGAGGAAAGCACCTAAGTCAAGAGGCAGATGAATCACAATCGCTGTAAGTGATCGGTAGCTTACATCAACCACGCAGCGGCACCGCAGTATTCAAGGATTCCGACAGTATTGAAGACAAATTGGAAACTTGGTCGGATTTTCGCACTGCATGTTGAAGGCAATTTATATTTTCAGAGCTTTAATTTGGGTTTTAAGAGCTACTTCGATTCTAGCACATCGATCTGGAAACATTGTTCTTGAAAAAATAAACCCATAAATATGCATATATTGTTCAAAACGTCAAAGCACCAGGACGCATATCACCAAAATAATAGCGACAACAGAATCGGGCAACCTAAAAACAAGTTCGTCTCTGGCCCGGAAACAGAGACGGATTTAATAAGCGTTCAATCTGATGAATCGAGACGCAGTCCACCGAAAAATGGCCAACCCACATGTTTGACCAAGGACGTCAATCCTCTTGCAGAATCAACTGGTGAAGCAAATTACACAATAAGCTTTGGGCCCGCGCTCACTATCCTAGGAGCAAGAATAATGATGGGCTGCGGTTGCGGTTTCCACCAAAGCCAAAGGCGCTGGCCGCTGCAGATAACGCCAGGCGTTGGGCGCCAGGTGCGCGAGTACAACCGATGTGAAATAATGCTTTCGAATCTTTCGAAGCTGATTCGCATCGTTCTTTTATGGGACTGGGACGTACATACCACCAGCAAAATTTCGAGGCTGGCCTCTGAATAGCCTAACGGCTACAGCAACACGAGAATAGAGATGTTACCTTTACTTTTCCAGACCCACCACCAGCTCCCAGCGCCATTTCGCGGTGTTGTCAATACCAACTTGTTTTTATTGTCCATCTTAATATGGTACAGGGGAAAGTTCGCTCAGACAGTCTTCTCAACGCATTTATGTCGTAAAGCGTTCAAATCTACTTTCAGATGCGTCATCGTTTTCGTCCGCCCTTTGGCCACCACCTAGTATTAGTCGAGGGGGGGGGGGGGGGGGGGCGGAGGCCAGACGCCGTGCGAACCTCGGAGACCGCAACGCCGGGCTCGTTTTTTGTTTTGTTTTGTTTGTTTGTTGATGGCTATCTGATCCAACTTTCCAACATCTGGCGTGAATCATTCCGCGTGGCAGGAAGCCGCCGAGCCGATGCCCGTAGCTATGGCAATCGTGGGTACAACACGGCAGTCGGCACTGTCGACCCATGCTGTGTTCACCTGACGGACAAAACAGGACCCCGCTGGTGAACCGCCTAGTAGCAGCTACATGCGCCCCTTCAACAATGTCCCGGAGCGGCGGTCGAGGGCGCGGGTTGACGGCCGACCGCCGGGCTGCCTAGCGTACGGCACGTTACCTCGGTTCGTGAGCCGGACTTGGTGCTCGTCGAAGACTTTTTGTTCAGGCCAGTAGCGCTAGGCTGGAACACGGAATACGGAACACGGTGTAGATCATACAAAAACGGCGATTCTGGGTGCTCATTGTTGTGGTTCATATTGTAACAGACACCATCAACTTAACCGCATTTTATCGGCGTCTGCCGGGACCGTGTCGATCCAGTCTACACGTATTAAGTACGTTGGACATGTACATGCATACTCACGATCTATACATACAACAAGGGGAAAGACATCAACAGCAAAATCAACGGGCCGCAGGAGCAGGACACCAGTCAGTCTGCGGTGCTGCGGGCGCTCACTCAGCCCCCCCCCCCCCCCCCGTACACTGCTGGTCTCTCGAGTAAGTCCCAGCCGTCACAGATTGCTACGCAACCCTGCCCGAGTGAACATAAGCCTTTTATCACAGCAGCGAGCCAGCACATTTTGTTTTAGTCCGATCGCAGCAGAAGCCGTGACAAAGCGCGCCGGATATGCTGAGCAGCTAGGGTCGGCAGCGCCCAGTGGGTCACCGCGAGCGGCGTCTGACCTGGGGCGTGGGGTCGGCGCTGGTGGCGTCCAGGGCGATCTCGTCCTGCACCTCCGACATGATCTCCGTGAAGAGCACGTCCCACACCCAGGGCTTGTCCGGCTGCGGAGAGGTCAGGGAGCGCGTCACGCCCTCACGGACGAGAGGACCAGGGGCCCGTCATACTCCTACGGACGAGAGGACCAGGGGCGCGTCACACCCTCACGGACGAGAGGACCAGGAGCACGTCACGCACCTACGGACGAGAGGACCAGGGGCGCGTCACACCCTCACGGACGAGAGGACCAGGGACGCGTCATACCCTCACGGACGAGAGGACCAGGGACGCGCCACTCTCCCACGGACGAGAGGACCAGGGGCGCGTCACACCCTCACGGACGAGAGGACCAGGGGCGCGTCACTCTCCCACGGACGAGAGGACCAGGGGCGCGTCACACCCTCACGGACGAGAGGATCAGGGGCGAGTCAAACCCTCACGGACGAGAGGACAGGGGACGCGTCACACCCTCACGGACGAGAGGACCAGGGGCGCGTCACGCACCTACGGACGAGAGGACCAGGGGCCCGTCACGCTCCTACGGACGAGAGGACCAGGGGCGCATCACACCCCCACGGACGAGAGGACCAGGGGCGCGTCACGCACCTACGGACGAGAGGACCAGGGGCGCATCACACCCCCACGGACGAGAGGACCACAGACGCGCCACTCTCCCACGGACGAGAGGACCAGGGGCGCGTCATACTCCCACGGACGAGAGGACCAGGGGCCCGTCACGCTCCTACGGACGAGAGGACCAGGAGCCCGTCATACTCCCACGGACCGACACCAAGAAGCAGGCCGGCCACCAGACGGTCAGCAGACGCGGGGGGCACACCTCGGCACAGGGCAGGAAGACCCCGCTCACCGCAGACCGCTGACGGGTGCAGAGGGGGCCTCTGGCCGAACTAAGCGCCTGGTCATGGCCGAGCTAAGCGCCTGCGGCCGGTCATTGGGAATAGTGCTGCGTCAGAACAGCATCGAAAACAAGCTACGAATACGTTGTTTGGAGAAAGTTTCACGAAATCCTGACGAAATACCCGACAACGTGATTCCTTAGCAACAGTTGCGAATGCGAGGCTTTTCAATAACATTTCGCGAGCACGTTATCTGTGGTGTAGGCCCCATGCTAGATGCGCCCCTGCAGCGCTCCCGCCTCCCCCTCCCCTCCCCACTGGAACACTGGTCTGTTCTATGGTAATGCTGCACGAACAGCCAACGACAGCTGCGGTCGCGCCGGCCGAGCGCCAACTATGGCAGCCGCCAGCTGCTGCACAGCAGCTGACCTCGGCCACGTCGCGAGCCTCCTGCAGACAGCGTGTCAGCAGCTGAAGGTCCACCTCGTCCAGCGTCATGAACGCCGGCTTCTTCTCCAGGTCCGCGTTCAGTTCTTGCATCGTGGCCACGCGGTTGACAGGCGCTCTGAAGGTGACAGACGCATGACGACGTTGTAGCATTGTGTTAATTTGGCAGCAGCACCTGCACGTGTTTCGAGAGGTGCAATGGGGTTTCCCGCAAACCAGATGAGGCCTTCTGCGCAACTCCAGTCCCGCTGCCACTGCATCCATCACATAACGGCAAAAACTGCGGAGCAACGATCTGGATGTTTCGGGATAACCTTCTGTGATCTGGATGGGGCCTCCCGTGATCTGTGTGAGAAAAGCAACGAAATTGATTGGAGCAAATACACGTGTGGCACAAAAACATTTGACATTTCATTGACCAAGTTGTTTGCAGAGGGGGGGGGGGGGGGCACGCTTACGTGGGAGCAGGCGCCACCTGTAGCGTCAGGTCCTCCTCCTGCACCTCGTCCAGGTCCGGGATCATGGGGATGTCGGCCGCGTCGTCATCGTCCCAGGTGGTGAGACGCGGCTGCAGTTCCGTCTTACTGTCCACCGAGCTGGGGCACACGCAATGTTAGGGCTCGGTTCCGACACAGCGGCAGCACCAGCGGCAGCTCCCGTCCCGGCTCTCGTGCGCAATGTCAGGGCTCGGCTCAAGCACAGCGGCATCACCAGCGGCAGATCCCGTCCCGGATCTCGTGCGCACTGTCAGGTCCCGGCTCCGACACGGCGGCAGCACCACCGGCCGCTCCCATCCCGGCTCTCGTGCGCACTGTCATGTCCCGGCCCCGACACGGCGGCGGCATCGCCGGCCGCTCCCGCACCGGCTCCCATGCGCACTGTCAAGTCCCGGCTCCGGCACGACGGCAGCGCCACCGGCCGCTCCCGTCCCGGCTCCCATCACGCACCGTTTCACGGTGACGATAAAACGCGTTCGCCACATCGCGTTACATAAGCAGGATTGAACCGGCTTGGGCACTTTTTGTCCGTTTGAGCTTTGCAGCGTTAACAGTAATTAAAAAGGTCATGCAATCAAACTCATCACGAGAAGACATAACTGGATGGTTGGCAATGAAAGGTTTGGAACCTGTGGGCCCCGAGTAACAATCTCTGGCTCGTCAGCGGGAAAGAAGCCAACGTAGGAAACATCTTCTATCGATATCTAGGGAGTACCCCTAAGCTGAAGTGGCCCACGTGAGCAAAAGTGATGTAGCGCATAAGCCTCCACGCAGGATGCACGAGCCTCCAAAATTGAGATACGTAGGCGCGTGCCGTGCCCAACAGCCTATAAGCACCTACATTTGGCAAACCGCATGACTGCGCCCAAACTTGGGCGCTGGATGACTAGCGGGCACCTCAATCTCTCTGGCTCCAGTCTTGCTGAACCACAGTGTGCCAGTCAGACAATTTAACGGACTCATGCCCCTATGACAAATGCCATTTAAACACATCCACAGGCATCCCACGACGACGATGTGGGCTGGCTAAGGACGGTGGTAAAAAGACCGATGGGTGCTGCATGGCGGGCTAAAGCAATGTGACACCATGGAGGCACTAACGAACAGAAGAGAACGAGCATGCCCCGCCGCAGTGCGACATACGTGCAGCAGCAGGGCCTGCAGTAGTGCGCCACACGCGCAGCAGCAGGGTCTGCAGCGGTACGACACACGCGCAGCAGCATGCCCTGCCGCAGTACGACACACGCGCAGCAGCAGGGTCTGCAGCAGTGCGACACACGCGCAACAGCAGGGCCTGCAGCAGCACGACACACGCGCAGCAGCATGCCCCGCCGCAGTACGACACACGCGCAGCAACAGGGCCTGCAGCAGTGCGACACATGCGCAGCAGCAGGGCCTGCAGCAGTACAACACACGCGCAGCAGCAGGGCCTGCAGCAGTGCGACACACGCGCAGCAGCATGGCTCGTCGCGACTACTCACCCGGTAGGGGTAGATTCGTCGAAACCAGCCCTCTGGCGGCGGCCGGGCGGGCCCCGTGGCGGACCCTGCGGTGGTCCCCGTGGTGGTCCCTGCGGTGGGCCTTGTGGAGGCCCCTGCGGCGGGCCCTGCGGCGGGCCCTGCGGCGGGCCCTGCGGCGGACCCTGTGGCGGAGCCTGTGGCGGGGCCTGCGGGCGAGCGGCAGCTGGAGGCGCTCCCTCCGCGGCCTCCGCGGCGTGCTTCTTTTTCTTCTTCCCCATGTCGCCACAGCTCTGCAGAAGAAGGCGCCTGATGCACTCCTCATGCACATGGTGTACGCTTGGTACCCACCCGCTCTTTGCTCAACCTTCCGCTCCCACCACGGCGGGATTGGATAAAGCCCTGTCATGAGCTAGTGCAAATAATCCGTTTGAAGTGAATTTTTGTCCCAGAGTGTCATACTTCATCGCTGATTAGTCACACACTGCGCACAAATGGCACAAATACCATTAAATCTCTTCCAGGATATTTACAGACTATTACTTTAAGGTATTCAGGGCATGGCGAAGGTATGACCTGAATAAAGAGACGCCGGAAAGGGAAAGGGATTGGACGGATCAACATTCGTGTCCGGCGCTGAAAACCATTGGCGAAATTCGTAACGCCTCAGCTGCGAATATTGAAGCTCATAGTCAGCTAGAACCTAGTCAGAGAAATGGAGGGGGAGGGGAAGGAGACATACTTGTAACGGAGGTCGGGGCGGACAGGAAACATTCCAAGCTCGCCCCCCCCCCCAACGTATTGCTTTTAGCTTTTGGGCTGGCATGTATGTGAGCGGGGGGGGGGGGAGGGAACTGAAAATTAGGACGGGGAGTGAGCTGTGCGCAACACTCCCTTACATGCAAAGCCACACCCATGTTTGCCGGCGCGAGCTTGAACGGCACAATCGCGGCGTAGTCTTGTAAACTGATTGGGTGTGGGAAGGGGGGGGGGAAGGGCTGAACACTGAAAAATATCGCAACTCGCTATAAGACACCCCGACGAACAGAGTTTCCATTGGATTTGGCCCACTTTCCTCTGAGTTTCAGAGCTGGAGGGCTCCAGTCCCCCTCAAAATGAAAAGGAAACTTCACGCCTGGGATCAATGTTAAATCCTGGACAGTCCACCGCTCTTACAACCCGAGCTCTTGGAGCCCTGTCCCGGGCGCGCAAATTCTCCCCAAGCAACATACATTAACCAATATCTGGTATAATAATTACCAGATATCCAACAAGCCTGCGAACCAAAAACACGCCCAACACACAACAGTACACAACATACAAGTAAACCCTCGAAATGACTACGATAGCTGCTTAGGAAAGGCCAAGTGCTTTTTTAATCACGTGCCTAGGTCAGTATAATGCAAAAAGACTGATGTTTTTGCCATTCAAAGAAAACAACTGTAGAGTGGTCAAAATGCAACTCAAGCATTAAATATTATTAAAATCGAACAAGGTAAAAAACTGATTACCTAGGGTCAACAACCTATAATAATTCCACAACATTCATTGAAGACATATATGACGATTATGCGACGAACTACAAAAACAGTTCTGCTTGCTTACGTTGCCGGTTCCAATGGGCGGAATGGCAGATTTGGTGGCGTTTGGTTAGAGTTGTAAACAACATTGTTGTGGGAGGGGTGATGTGGGGCCGTGGTATGAAAAGTGTGTGTGTTGCCTAGCTCTTTTTTTGTTTGGAATAAAACGCATCATTCAGTCGGATCTCATCGAGGTAAGATGTATGTTCAAAGGTGAATGTCAGTTCAGTAGTAAGTAGGGTCATAAGTTGTTTCCCTGTCACATCCAAAAACTTTACTTTCAACTTCAGGTGATGTGTGCGATGCCTTCAATTTGATATGGTTGAGATATTTGTTTCATCTCTGTTTTTGAATGCTGTGTTTGCATGTGTGCTTGTATACACATGCATTTTTGGTGGCACAGTTTTAAAGATAAATATACCTATGTGTATAACTTGCTCACACCTGTTATTAGCATTTGAAAACATTCAGAGCTCATTTTTTTAGTTTTCAGTATAATTCTAGCTATGCCACTGCTCTTCCATTCGTGTTTACTCATACATATAATAGGTCAGGCTCCAGAATTCACAGTGAGTATGGTTAAAGTCATGTTTAATTATCATTTACTGTTAAATGGTTAGTTTGATTCAGTTGCCATGTCTGAAATTGATTTTTGTTTCATAGGTATGAATACATTATTCTCTCTATAAATGCAAAGAAAGACTCCCACAATGTCAAAATGAAGCATTTCCAAAATGATTTTGCCAATCATGTCAGATTATTTAGGTTAATCAGCTGCTTGAGATTTGGGTTATGATAAATTTTTGTGTGTACCTTTATACTTGTATTGAAATAAAATTCTCACATTGCTTGTATTTCTCATGCGATTAAAAAACTGCCATCTTATCCATGGTTTGAGCCCTGGGGCATGTTCGTGAGGATTCACTTCACATAGGTATCAAATATTTGACTGATTAGTTTGGATGTGGGAGGTACAGGGCCCCTCATCATTTTGCTTTAGAACAAGGCCTAGATGGGAAATAAGGATAGGTCTAGCTTAATCTTTAATTTTATATGGACAGGATCAATTTGTAGCAGTTGAGAAAAATAATAAAAAATCCCAACTTAGCTCCTGATCAATCCATGTGTGCTAAGTTTCATCCTTTGATAGGTTATTCTAAGACCCTGAGATGTGAAGGTTTGAGTAATGCATAAATGTTACATGTAAATGATGTTTCCTTTTCTATTTTGTGAGCCCCTCATTCTAAATATCCCAGCTATTTCTTGTATAAAATTAGCTGCATGTCAATGATTGGGACAAGCTATGAAACAAGGTAAAAGTCTAGCCACCATTGCACAGCTTTGAAAGCCAACTCATGAATATACCGTATTATATGGGTGCAATACCGACTGTTATGACCCATATATAACTGGTAAAGGAAGCATCCCACTGTTTTCATACTTTTACCCATTGTTATATCAGACAGATATGATTTGGTGAGAGATACCAGTTTTCTCAAATTCCTTTGGAAAAGCTCAGATTTAAATTTGACTTAAACCCTGCTAGAGAATCCTTATTTGACTCCTTACTTACCACTATGAAAGTAACACACTCCATTTGGTTTGGTTTTCCAATGTGTGCAATCTGTAATGTTTGCAGCACACATATGTGTCACAATGTTTGTGTACATTGCTACAAATGCAATGCTACTAAAACCTGAAACACACTGTTAAGACAAAAACTGTTAAAAAAAAATAAAAAATATAAAAACAAAAACCTGAAACACACTGTTAAGACAATAACAAAAATATATGCAGACCCAAAGCTATCATCCAGGGAGTTCAATGAAGCCTTATACTATCGCTCTAGTTACGCCCCACTGGCATTTATCGCAGTGGCCCTTTTAGAGGCGCATTTTGGCTTTAGGAAATGGGAGTATCACATGGTCCATTTGACACACTGGTTCAAAGTTCAGCCAACCAATTTGTCGGTAACAGGCTGTTACCCGTTGGGACAGTCGCAAGCATCCTTTAACTCGCGCCAATAGAGATGCGTACAGTCGCCATGACGATGGTGGTCGTGACTGCACGAAAGGAGCGCAGTGTTGTTACGAAGCCTTGGCAACGTAATTTGGACTAAAAAATAACCAGGATTGATATCTGTGTTGTGTTAACGGTGCTGTGTCGACACTACCGAGGGCTAGCGTTAGACGTAAAAAGTCGTGAGTTTTCACTATAGCGTGCTTTTGAAACATGCCCCAAGGATGGAACAATGTGAAGTCAACCCTTTCTCTTATCAATAAGCATACAATTGAGATAAACCCATAGTAAAATAAAATATCCTTTTTTACCTTTAGATGCCTATGTCGTAGATGCCTATGTCGTTATCTGAACCTGTTTCATGTCATAGATTCCCATTCACTAAATTGCTTACGAGTATCACATCTCACGGGCTTGCCTGGTATCGGTGTTTGGTGGGCGATGCAACTGATTTACGACCCTGATGGCTGGCCAGATACTGACGCGTCTCGAGTGTGATAAGCCTGCCCAGCCGCGTCACTTTTACGTCACATCAAGCCACAAACACTTCATCTGTACCCAGATGAGACGTGATGTCAGTGTTATCGAGACAGTGGCTCGTGCTGGGCCGACGATTCTCCCCTGGTGGCTGCGTTAGACGCCTGACCTGGCTTGGGCCATGGCACAACTCATCTGACCTTGTCAATATCCACAGGAGCACTGGTGCGGCGTTGGAGGCTGTTGGAAGATCCGCCCAACTATCTTGCCTGTCCAGGACGTAAGTGTGCAGTCCATCTTCCGGCTTCGTGGCTTTCTGAGACTGTACTGTCCCCACTGCGAGCGCACTGAACACTGCAGACGCTCGAAAACTCTTCCGACACCGCCCTGTCGACCACATCGTCCCAGCTCTGCGCTCATCTGCTGCCGCGGACGTGCGTGCTCCACAGCGCGGGCTCGCGGGCCTCGGTGTCTGGACGCGTCGGCTCTGGACTGAGACGGCGGTGCACCGAGCGCCGCTCCACGCCGCTGTGCGTCGCCGCCTGCTCCCGTCGTCCGTCGCTCGGTCGGCGCACCAGCGGCTCCCGGGCGCGGCGACGGCCGCTATTGATCATGGAGCGCGCCGGCGCGTGCCCGCGGTCGTCGGCCGGCGCGGGCGGTGACGCGCCGCCGCCACCGACGGCCGACGACCGGCGCGCCGTGTACCTCGAGGACGTGGCCAAGGAGTTCTCCAGCTGGCTGTTCTGGCGCGACCCGGGTGCGGCCGGTCTGCCGCCGCCCGACAGCGCGCCGGCTGCCGATCGGCAGCAGCGTGGCTTCCAGGTGGTGACGGCACAGCGCGTACTGGTGTCGAGCGACGAGGCGGCTCTGCTGCCGGCGCCGCGCCCCGCCGGCCGCCAGTGCATCCCCAGTCCGACCGAGGAGCTGCTGAGCGAGTCCAGGCAGCGACTGCGCGCGGCCGCCACCCCCCGCCGCCGCCTATCTCGGCCGATAACGTCGTACCGCCGCCGATCGCGGCGCCCGTGGCCGCCGCCGCCGCCGGCCCGGCGCCCAGTCTGACCGTCGACTCGGGCCTGGGCGACGCCTCTACCGCCGACGAGGCCAGCGACCTCGAGGAGGACGCGTCCGTACGCTCAGGACACGCGCCAGCTGCCATGGGCAACAAGATGGGCACGGCCACGCCCGAGCGGCGCAAGGCCAAGGGCAAGGACACGGCATTTGTCAAGGTCATCAAAGAGTCGGGCCGCCGGAAGAAGACGACCGAATCGACCTCGTCGAGCTGCGAGGTGCTGGACGCACCGCCGCCGGCAGCGCCGTCTGCCGGCGCTTCCAGCCCGGACCGCTTCCCGCGCTTCCCGCAGATGGCGGCGGCGTTACCGCTGACGTCACAGCTCGTACCGTCACCGGTGCCGGAGCCGGAACATAAACCGGAGCCGGAGCCGGAGCCGAAGCGTGGGCCGGAGCGTGAGCCGGTGCCGGAGTGGGAGCGGGAGCGGGAGCGGGAGCTGGTAGAGCCGGCAGAGCCGCGGGAGGCTGCGCCCTTCGTCACCGACTCCTGGAAACAGGTGGGTTCAGACTGGCTTCGTGCTCTTTTTTGTGAGTTCATTCGGTGTTTAATGGGAGTTAACCTACGCATTTCTTGTTGTTTGACATGCCTTGCTGTGTGGTGTGTCACAGACGAATAACTTTTCCGAACTAGCCTTTTACCGAAGCTCCTCGTGGTAGCAACCTTACCTGGTAGCAAACTGTCAGAATATTCGTATATCGTGAATCACAAGGCGTGAATCACGCATCCTCGTCCTTGCGCGCTAATGCCATGACAAACTGGACAGGCGGTTATCGAAAAAATCGCTTCATTCTCATTGGATGGGAAGCTGTTATCGGTCGCCTTGCGTTCAAACAAATTCGAGCAGCGCGTTTGGTCACATATGACAGAAGTGTTTGCACAAGGATATTCTATTTCCGTCACCGATATGCTGTTGTCTGCATGCACCAGGGGAGGATGGGGAGGGCAGGGGTCGGCTTACTGGACGCAAACGCGCTATATGCGGTTTGTGAGCCTTTCCGCCTGTAAGTTGGGCTATTTTTTAGCCTATTTAGGCTGTCGTCGCTCTTAGACATTTATAAATTTGTGGGCAGCGTATGAACTCGTGATTATACGCTCTGCGTGTGATTGCAACTGAGTGGATGGGGACAGATGCTGATCGGAGTGTAGGCACGCCTCACACCGACTGCCGGCGCCCCACATGCACGTGCCTCCCGTCGATGAGGTGGCCTGCCGTTGTTTGGGACGTATGAAACCGCCGCTGCTTTTGGTCGTAGTCCGGGAAGTGCTCTCCTTTGTCCTCCTTACATGACCCCGGATACAGCCCTGTCCCCCACCTGTTCGAGTTCCGCTCTGAATGTGGCCGGGTGCGCCAGGCCGGCCGGGGGCGGGAGCGGGCCGGTGGTCGGATTGGCAGTATGTGCCTGGTCGGCGGTTTTTGTCCTGACCCTATCTCAACACATCCTGTAATCAGCCACACTGGCTCAGTTCTCACAATGGAGCGCCAGCTCACGAGACCACTGTACCGTACGACACGCGATGTAAGGCTGCTGTTTGGTGGGCGACGCGTACCTTCGGCGCCTCTCACGAGAGGTTTCGAAACTAGGCCCACTACATGGAAAAATACGTGCTCGGAAATATAATCCACAATGAGATTGCGGAGTATGCGGTGGTGTTCTTTTTGGAGAAAATAACCGCAGACGTTCATCTCACCTGATGTTGCAGCTGTTTTATTTACCGGTTGCCAACTGGTGTGTGTTAGTCCCGATTGGAGCAAACGGACGTATGCATTAAGCAAAGGAGCATTATGTGAGCAGTGATATGCACGCCACCCTAACCCGTCATGTGACCAGTGGTACGCTCATCACCCGGAGCCGACACATATGCGTGATGCATACGAAGAAGTCTCGATAAGCAATGGAGACGCTGCTGATATTGCAATAATACGTAGGCGTGCTTGCAGTTCAGCATACATCATATAAATAGAAACGAGGTTGGATAGGGTGGCTATTGTCTACTCATCTCTGTGACATATGATCGGCTTGGATCTTTACTCGAGCATGTGCGGCTCACGTCCGAAATCGATCCGGATGACGTCGACTCCGATTCCGAGGGGGATTCCGACTTCGTGTCATATTTCGCTGCAGAATACAGCACGGAGTACGTACATCTACCGACGACAAGTGCTTCGCTAGTAAAACGCGAAACAGGCGTTACTCGTTCCAGTTGTCATCTATATAAGCCGATTAACGACAGCGTGGATTGTGACTAGTGATGGTATTTGCGTCGGCTCATCATTGATTCCAACCAGTGCAAGTGATCCCACCTCAGCCACGACCCGCTGTAATGTGTCTGCGGTGCTGATTCCACTTCGCGATCGACCCCGACTCCATCCGGAGTCACGCACAAGTCCTCCGGAGTCATGCACAAGTCCGTCGCATAGACACAGCTTGACAACTGTGGGGCACGAGGTCACGGCTGAAAAACAGAAGGGAAGCCGAGGCTGGGGTGCCATGTTAAGACAGCGGAAATGGTGCCCGTATTACGTCACCCCGCTGCCTCTGCCTTGATGGCACTTCTGGCGCACCGGTAGTGGCAGGGTCATACGCTGGTTGGCGGCATGTTATAACGTGTAACCTGCCGCTCCGCACGCCGTGTACTGGGTAACGTGTGGTCTCGGTTTACCACTATTGTGGTAGTGACGAGGACGTCTGCAGACTGTTGCAAGTGAGGGGGGGGGGGGACACGTGCCAACGGTGGTCAGTGTGGGCATACGCTTCTGATTGTGGGCAGGTAGTACATGTGATCACAGGTCATCCAGCAAGAAAAGCCACCCTCATTTGTCTTGTTTATGACCTGAAATGATAGGTGAAAACGGCATCGTCCTGTGCAAAAAGAAAACCTAGCCAGGCACTTGACAATGGGCTGTCGAATCAGATGAAACGATGTTACCTGTCGAAACGCCGCCATCCCATGCAACTTACACCAATGAAGTTGCCATCCACCGGTCACCACCACGGCCTGTTATTCTATCGCCCTCGTAGCTGTGGGCAGGTAACCTGCGCTGTCAGTTAATCCGTGACCGTGACAACACTCAGCCCTGTGATTAGCGCTGCTGTCTCCTGTGCCCTGCCCGATCGGCCTGACATGTAACGTGACGACATCAACCCTGTGATTAGCGCTGCTGTCTCCTGTACCCTGCCCGGTCGGCCTGACGTGTAACGTGACGACATCAACCCTATGATTAGCGCTGCTGTCTCCTGTACCCTGCCCGATCGGCCTGACATGTAACGTGACGACATCAGCCCTGTGATTAGCGCTGCTGTCTCCTGTACCCTGCCCGATCGGCCTGACATGTAACGTGACGACATCAACCCTGTGATTAGCGCTGCTGTCTCCTGTACCCTGCCCGATCGGCCTGACGTGTAACGTGACAACATCAACCCTGTGATTAGCGCTGCTGTCTCCTGTACCCTGCCCGGTCGGCCTGACGTGTAACGTGACGACATCAACCCTGTGATTAGCGCTGCTGTCTCCTGTGCCCTGCCCGGTCGGCCCGACATGTCACGTGATGACACTCAGCCCTGTGATCACGCCTGCTGTCTCCTGTACCCTGCCCGTGTGACCACCGATGTGCCTGGCGACCACATCATCTCCGGGCGATGGCCGCCGTCCTCTGACGAGCGGCGTAAACGCCGCCATTGTTTTGTGCGGAAGGAACTGCACGGTGCGGTGAAACCATGTGAAACAGTTGATGAGTTTCTCTTTGTTCTGAGACAATCCGCACGTGATCGGGGCCCAACCCTCTGGCGGCGGCGGCTCCACGTGTGCCGTACTTCCGCCGCCACCGGTCGGTCCTGTCTGCTCTCAGGCACCCTGGCTCCGTCACCCATTTACGAGCGGCACTGCCGCTCCGCAGTTTCCACCAGGTCACGCGTCAGGTGCGTGTCTCGGCCGATGCGTGTTTCGGCCGGGACGACTCCTCTGCTGGCCGGTGATTATCTGTCCCGACCGCGAATCCCCCACTGGTACCCGAGTTCTCGCTGAGCCGGGGCTCCCCGCTGGACCCTGGCTCCCCGCTGATCCCTGACTCCCCGCGGATCCTTAGCTCCTCGCTCATCCATGCCTCCCCACTGATCCATGGCTCCCCGCTGCTCCATGGTTCCTCGCTGATCCATGGCTCACCGCCAATTCATGGCTCCCCGCTGATCCATAGCTCCCCGCTGATCCATGGCTCCCCGCTGGTCCATGGTTCCTCGCTGGTCCATGGCTCCTCGATGATCCATGGCTCTCCGCCTGTTCATGGCTCCCCGCTGGTCCATGGCCCCTTGCTGATCCATGACTCCCCGCTAATCCATGGTTCCCCGCTGATTCCACGACCCTCCGCTGATCCATGGCTCTCCGCTGATCCATGGCTTCCCGCTGATCCATAGCCCCTCGCTGATCCATGGCTCCCCGCTGATCCCTGGCTCCCCGCCGACCCATAGTTCCTCGCTGATTTATGGCTCCCTGCTGATCCATGACTCCCCGCTGACTGGCATTCTTTACTAACTGGCGAATCGCTGCCAGCTCGTAAGGTATCGTTTTGTAACCCCCGCTGGTCCCCGTCGGACATGAGGTCGACATCGACCGATGGGTCTGTGCTGACCAGGGGCGCTCTTCTGCCAGGTACGGCGCGTGCAGGACGGCACCGCGGCGGGCGTCGCCACCGAGCCGGCCGGCTCGGACGAGAGCTCTGGCTCGTTCACCGACCCGCTGAGTTCGTCCCGCGCGCGCCACTCGGCCACGGGCTCGTCGCTGACTGCCACGCTGCGTCTGGAGGCCGGCGACGGCGACACGGCCACGCTGACGGACGCGCTCGCTTCGGACGAGTTGCCGCTGGACGAGACACCCGTCTACCGACCGGACGAGCCGGACGGGCCGCTCGACCTGAGCGAGATCGACGTGCGCTTAGACGAGCCGCTGAGCTTCGACGGCGACTTCACACGCTCGTGTGACCCGGCGCTGCTGACCGGGCTGCTGGCCGGGCCGGCCTCTGTGCCGCGTGCCACCGCCGGCCTCGGCCCCGCCGGCCCCGCCGGCCCCGCCGCCGCCTCCAGCCCCGCCGCCGCCGCTGCCGCCCCCGCGCTCCCGGCGGCGCAGGACAAGAGTCGCTCGTTCTCGCAGTCGGACGTGTGCGACATGGAGGTGGCGCGACCGGCGGCGCGGCCCGGCTTCACCGTCACCAAGCACCGCAAGGTGGACCTGGGCGGTCGGCTCAACCAGACGGCGCCCGGCCGAGACTGGACCGCCTCGGAGCAATGCCTGCCAGGTCAGTGCCCGGCCTGGGCCGCCCCAACCCCCCCTCCCCCACGCGCCGCCCCGCCGAGGGGACGGCGGTTCGTGTCTCGCCCATCATGCGCTAGTCGGCCGTCGCCAGGCCGGATGCGCCGATGGCCCCGGGCGGCTGCTCCACACAACTGCCCCAGACGCACGGCTGCGTGTACGGGGCGCTGTGCCTGTGGAGGGGCAAGGCCACGCCCAGTGGCCGCAAGGCCTGAGCCGAGTGACCCAGTCGCGCCAGCTGTGGGAGCATGCTGAACAAAAACAGGTTAATAGACCTTTCCCCCGCTTACCTGCGGACATCATCGAGACAAAGATACGAATAAAGCGTTATTCAGCAGATGCAATGCTGAGGAACGTTTACTGGTCCATTTCATAATTTAAGGTCAATGTTAGGGCTTATTTATTCACATCATTTGTGTTCTGAGTTGTTTGCGATTAACTCGGAGATTGCATATGCATTTAAAATATGCCAGCAACAGGACGATTTATTAGGCCACAATACTGGGTTCTACACATCATCATATGCCGCTGTTGTTTGACCTGGGTCGACCAGTTGTCAAGCTGGTTGTGTTTCACGGTCAATGCAGGTCAGTGATTTATGATGACTTCGTGGCAAAAGTCATGCAAATGGGAGAACGGCATTATCAAGTCTCAAGACGAATAGAGGATACGCTCCGTGCTGCCTGATTGCACGAGGTGAAGGTGATACCAATTTAGAGGTGAAGGTCAGCATGAACCAGTGACCATGTAACGTTCTGAGGTTATCCTGACGTAAATGTCGCGGGGCAGATGACTACTTCCTACCGTCATTCCGGAACTTACACAAGCACGCTCCTTTAACGTGTGTTTGTACATACACTCAGTAAGGCATATACGGATGTATTTGAATATTTATACGCATTTGTTCGGGTGAGCAGGATCTATAGTTGAAGGTACATTTACGTCTGTTTTTTCTCCGTGTTGTACGCATGCAGCACGGTAATCGTATCCTGTTTTCTCTGGAAAAAAGAAATACGTGGAGTTAAATTCCCTACCAAGCCTTGTTGGTGCTTGCAACAGGCTCTGCTTTCGTGCTGTGGTGGTGAAGCAAAACAAAGCAACAACAAAACAACAACAAAAAAAAAACGGGATGCGCGAAAACCTTGCATTTAGTACACAGCTGCCGATTGTGATGCATTTTGTAAACAAACCAAACTTAAGGCGTGCAAGGGGCTGGAGTCGCTGGGGTTCTTGGGCTTGGAGGTACCTGGCGCCCTTGATCTGTGCATACATAGACATGAGTCAGATGTAGGTGAGGCAGGACATAGCCATGGGTGTCCAGGTTCTGTGGAGCCTCGTTTATGCTCGGTTGTTTCAAGTGAGCCCGGTTTTGGATGACGTCTGAAAACCTCAGAAAGGGAAATAGGGGTTTGGCATGTGCAATTAGGCAATGTCAGGCAGGGGTGAAAAAATTCACATGAAATACGGGGAAAAGGAGTGAAAAATTCCTCCTCATAGGGTGTTGCTTTACACCCAAAGTCGGCAATTCTAGGACACTGGATTGCCGAAGAAAGGTGAAAGGTGCGTTAACGAAAGATGCAAAGTTGTATAGGGATTCTTCACTAGTTACTACCCAGCGTGCTTGTTGAGTCACAGATGGTATTGCCCCTGCATCCATTGCACTGTGGGATGTTCATTATGTCTCGTAGAACGAGTACTGTGCTTCCATTGGTATCGCCGTGGGTCTGCGTGCGTTCTCCCATTGATATCGCCGTGGGTCTGTGTGCGTGCTCCCATTGGTATCGCCGTGGGTCTGCGAGTGATGGCATCCGGGAGGCCGTTTGAGCAAGCCAACGGCGACACGACTGAAGCGCGCTGCGCAGGGCATTTAGTCCCGCTCCCAACTACTTAAAGGTAGCTGTCCCTCGAACGGTGTTTTGTGTGCATCGCTGCGAACGCGTTTAAAGTTAGCTGACGACTGAACTAGCGCCGGGTGTTCCGAGTACGGCTCTCCGGGAACTTCTGAGCTCGTTTGAGCGATCACCCCTCATTAACCACTGAGCCCTCTCTCAGCAATGTCCGCAGCGCGGGTTGGGTGCGGGCTATCAGAAAACTCTCCTCAGTCACTGGTCGCGTGTCTGGCCTCCGCCCCGGTGCCAGACGGTCGACGGGCCGGTCCGGTCCGGTGTAAACCGACTCCGGCTGGGGTTCGGCTGTACCGGAACCAGAGGCCCTAGAGCTGCTCAGCCGAGCCGTGGCTCAGCCACTAGGCTGATCGATCGTGGAAGTGGAGGTCGTGCCAGACGTCCGTTCTGAGTGTGCTCGGCCCACTCTTTACAACGGCAATGCACGACTTAGCCGTGCTGCCGCCACCGTAGACCACTGGCGGCGCGGATACAAACATGAGCTCTGTCGCCACCGTAAACCACAGATACAAACGTCAGCTCTGCCGCCACCATAAACCACTGGCGGCGTGGATACAAACGTCAGCTCTGCCGCCACCGTAAACCACTGGCGGCGCGGATACAAACGTCAGCACTGCCTCTTCGTAACGCTGCAGTGACCGCGCAACAGTACCAATAGAAGACTTGCACCCACGTGTAAGCACCAGACTTATGTCCGACTGAAGCGTTTTGATTCGGCTCAGGGCTGGTTGACAGATTTTGGTATCCTGTTTGGCTCATGACTCATAGCCACTCCCAACTTTTTGGTTCGACTCAATTCAGACCCATTGCTTACAATGAATCATTTGCCCCATGGCTCACGCAGTTTGCAAAATCAAAGATCTGATCCATTTCTGGGTCTGTAATTTATATATATATATATATATATATATATATATATATATATATATATATAGTGTAAACTGAAGCCCTGGATTAACAATATTGTGTTTGCTGCCCAAAACTTACAATAACAAGCTTTGTGCTGATATTGCTGAACACTATATAACTGATACTGCATGCTGTTCATTTAAATACCCTGAAATACGTTGATTTGCCTGGGGTATAGTCTGTTTCCTCATGCTAGCGTTGTCATTTCAGTCAGATGAGTAACTGACACAACATGGTTAGAAATGATCGGCTAACTATTCAGCTCATGAACCGTTCGAACGATGTGATTCAGCCCATGACTCAAAGCGGCATTTTCCCTTGCGAGCCGGCTCAGTTAACAACTCACCCAAAAGGATTGACTCATGAGCTGATTCATGATTGAGCTCGAGTCGAACTCAAGTTTGTTGAGCACGAGTTTCGCTGCTGTTTATTCACATTTTTTGCACGGTGTGATGGGGCGGAGAAAATGATACTTCCAATGCAGTCACCTTATAGCAATATTCAGCACGGCAATTCCATGTGGGAAGTGGGCGTGGGCTGGTGAGAATTATATCACAACTTTGAGAAATTATCCGTGTTTGTCCGCTTTCCATTGATATCCCATGAAAGTTTGTTTATTTCTCGTGGGGTACGAACACGATATTCACCTTCTTACGTTGATCTTTTTTTCCGGGGGGGGGGGGGGGCGGGGCGGCGAAAAGTGGAAATGACAGCACAATGTAGCACGCGTTAGAGAGAAAGACCATTTTTAGTTTCAAACGCCGTTTTATTGGAAGCCTAATAAGATTTTGCGCCTATCGTGCTAATGGCAATTTTCAAAATACCTCCTCGACGAAAAATGGGGCGGGAGTGTGGCTTTGCTGACCCCGCTCAGAGGGGTGAACTTGCAGCGCGTGACTAAACTTACCCCGACGCTTCTTCGAAATTGGACTGCTGGTCTAATTCAACCTGCTTCGTGTTTGAAGATGAGAGACAGACCGCAGGTGGGGGGGAGGGGGAGCAGGTGGCGGTCCTCGCCTGACTGTGCAGGGAACTGTACTCCTGAAAAGGAGACGACTGCATGGACTGCCCTCTGAAAAGGAGACAAGAACTACAGTCATGAAGAGGAGACGACTGTATTGAACCACACCCCTGAAAAGGAGGCAACGGTACGGATTGCACACGGATTGAACTTCCTTTGGCTGCAAGCTGCTAATATGCCGTTGTGTGCTGTGTGGCCTCTCCGCCCAAGAGGAAAAGTGCTTCACTTAGTTCTTCATCCTCCCCACCAAGGCTGGGTCAAGTTATGTGTAAAATATGCATCGAATAACAGCATGATCCTACGCTAAAAACGTGGCGACCTTTGAGCAAATGGCTGCAACAAATGTCTCGTGAAGCATGCACAACAATTGAAAACGTGCACACAATGAAGCATCGCAAGGGAACAATGGTCGCGAGGCTACTGGCGGAAAGACCTGCTTTCCTGGGCTTCTACACCCCATCCCCAAGGACGGTACCTGACGTTCCTGAAAATGCGATGACCACAGCGAGGCGCGTATTGTATGTATATATGAGTATGTATGAGTGTATGTACGTGGTGACGAGGCAGGGGAAACTGCGCGCGCACGCGCGGCCTTGCTGGGCACGCCCGCGGCTGCCTCCTCACGCGACGGTTCCACCGCCGCGGCTGGCGTCAGCGGGGGCGGTCAGAGCCGCTACACTCCGCCTGGCACAGCCACGCCGACGGCCAGAGCCGCTACACTGCGCCTGGCACAGCCACGCCGACGGCCAGAGCCGCTACATTGCGCCCGGCTAAGCCACGCCGACGGCCAGAGCCGCTACACTGCGCCTGGCACAGCCACGCCGACGGCCAGAGCCGCTACACTGCGCCTGGCACAGCCACGCCGACGGCCAGAGCCGCTACACTGCGCCTGGCACAGCCACGCCGACGGCCAGAGCCGCTACACTGCGCCTGGCATAGCCACGCCGACGGCCAGAGCCGCTATATTGCGCCCGGCTAAGCCACGCCGACGGCCAGAGCCGCTGCACTGCGCCCGGCACAGCCACGCCGACGGCCAGAGCCGCTACACTGCGCCTGGCACATCCACGCCGACGGCCAGAGCCGCTACACTGCGCCTGGCACAGCCACGCCGACGGCCAGAGCCGCTACACTGCGTCCGGCACAGCCACGCCG